TCTCAGACTGACCGAATCCCTGTGGAGCGCACAAACAGCCTGAAGCTCTCGCAGCCAAAACCCCGTCAGAAAACCAAGGCCCCCAAAACAGAGGCGGAGGTACCACCACCGCCGCCAGAGGAACAAGTCATTGGTTAATTAATTTTTTTTTTTTTTATTTTAATTATTTTTGAAATATTAATTTCTAATTATGTGTGTGTGTGTGTGTGTGTGTTGTGTGGTGTGTGTGTGTGTGTGTGTGTGTGTGTGTGTGTGTGTGTGTGTTGTGTGTGTTGTGTGTGTGTGTGGTTGTGTGTGTGTGTGTGTGTGTGTGTGTGTGTGTGTGTGTGTGTGTGTGTGTGTGTGTGTGTGTGTGTGTGTGTGTGTGTGTGTGTGTGTGTGTGTGTGTGTGTGTGTGTGTGTGTGTGTGTGTGTGTGTGTGTGTGTGTGTGTGTGTGTGTGTGTGTGGTGTGTGTTGTGCGTGTGTGTGTGTGTGTGTGTGTGTGTGTGTGTGTGTGTGTGTGTGTGTGTGTGTGTGTGTGTGTGTGTGTGTGTGTGGTGTGTGGTTGTTATTATGATAGTAGGTATATTTTGAATTTTGACTAAGAATATCAACTTGTTTACTCAGTATTTGTCTACATTTAACTTTGTAATTGTTGCAGTGCAAAATAACCTGGATTTTAGCTCGTGAAAATTCTCTTCAAGATAATGTCAGCAGTTTATGATAATATTGGAGTGTTTTTCTCTCTCTTGGATCCATGTAGTCTCTGGGAATCCTTAGTATTGATTGATATGCCATAGGCTAAGACACATGAATCCTCCAGCATGGGTTAGGAAATATAATATTCCTTGCGTCTCATACATGACTGTAACACATATTCACATATTTGAAAGTAATTTTTTATCAACAGTCTTATGGATTGTATTTTTTGTTGTCTATAGATCAATATTATTATGTTATTTATCCACTATTTTGTAGTAGTAGTATAGGTTACGTATTTTATTGTTATGTAAATATTTTTCAGAACCTGAGCTTGCTGCAGCCACCAAGGAGGTAGCCAAAAGTCTAGGCGGGGATGTGGAAGCCACCGAATCTGAGCTGTTGTCCACCTTAAAATCTCACGCCTTGGATACCTCTGCCAGTGAGAAGCCATCAGCTAATCTAAGGTAATCCTATTCTATGTGTTCGTGTTAACTACAGTAATAAATTTTCTTAAGGACTCCTGAATATGACTTGAAGTGAGTGGATTTAATGGTTGTTTTCTCCTGAGTTTAATCTATTGTTTACTGTTATACTTAGACTCTTTTTCAAAGAATATAATTATTAGTGTGGCAGCATTGTTGCTGTAAATGTGCAGGTGGCCATTAATATTTACCTATCAGTACACAAAACTGCAAAATATGGTTAAGTATGCTGAAAGGAAACACTTAACAATAAGATTTCAAGACAATGTTTTTTTTCTTACTGTGGCAGTGTTTCTTTTTCGTAAACACTTCTGAGTCAACTAATGTAGTGTGGCAGAATTTCAGGAAGTGAATATTATTTATTTAGATAATGTTTTCAATAGAAAATACATTGTATGATTATAAAGTCTGTTGACAACTTTAAAGATGATGTATTTTATTCATCATAAGTAACAGATTATATGCATTATTTAGATGGAATTGCACAGTTTGATAAAGTACTTTACTGCAGTGTAACCTGTATGGCAAAGGTCTGCATCATGTAATTAAAAAATAATTGAAATAATTGCATTTACGTTTAAACTTCCGTGTGTAATTGTCAAAATGTATTTTACAATATTTTCATTGTCAAAAGATAGCAGGTATCTTTAACCTGCAATATGAGAATGAGAAGGAATAAAGTAAATGTTTTATTATATAAAAGAAGGGCTTTACCAGCTGTGTTTGTTGAAAGGAGCATACAGTGCAGGATGGAATTACCAGTAAAGAAGTTATTATGCAAGTTTCCCTATTAGTATACTTTCTGCATATCTATGTCTTTCTAACAGACAACTGCATTTGAGACCTGAAATTTACTGTTGAAAGATGCCAATGGAGGAGGCAAAATTTAGATATTTGCAAAGAATACAATTTGATTTTTAAATGTTATGTAATTCACTATGTTAGAGGAGAGACATTTAATAATTATTTTAGTCACAGGTTTATTTGATATTAGTATGAAAATAGTTCACATATTAAGATAAAATTTGGTAATAATACCTAAAATGTAACGTGTTTATGTGTGGGTGATTGATTAGCTAAATCTGATTGTAGAATTTGTGTTTACCTAAAAGCCTTTTTGTTGTTAAAAGGATTAGAGGTTTATTTAGGGGAACTCCCATTTTTGTGTGTATGTATTTTTAGTTTTGGATAATATTTTGTCATAATTCATTTTATTATTTTATTTTTTTTTATTATTAACTCACTGGATCTGGGATGTGACTGAACATATTATGGAAAAATTTGGCAGAGGACCAGGTAATGGGAATATGCCTTCATGAAAAATTCAGCTGAAGGGTAGTGTGACAGGAATGGCTTATAAGTACACAAAGCTCATGGAGGAAGATTAAACTCAGTGGGCATTTGGAAAAGGGTTCTTGTGTTATTTCCACTGGTAAATCAGGGTGGAATGTACCATCCATGAGCCATTGCTGGTACATAGTATCCAGGGAGGATACTATTTCAATGATCTAGATTTTATTCCTGCCTGTTGTGACTGGAGTCTGTGCAAGGAAAATAGTGTATTACCATTTTGATGCAGCATAAAGAAGGACATACATAGACCATGGAAAATGGGAAAAATAAGTAAATAAATAAATAAATGAATAAAAACATGCAAAAAAAGAGATGGTAACATTGCAAAAGGGAGGCAAGGAGTCTTGATACTACACACCTATGTTCATATGGGTCAGACTTACAAGCTGGGAGATGTGCCACTCAAGTAACAATAATGTCCAGATTTTAGGGCTATGTGCAGGCAGAGGGGCACCTGGATCCAATAGGTTAAGCTTATGAGTTTTCACAGCTATTCTGTGAATATACATGGTTGTTAACATAACTAAATAGTTTGTATTATTTCAAAATATTCTCTTCATAATCAGACTGTCAGATTACATGATGCTAATGAGATCATAACTGAATTGTAGTAAATAAAAATTTGTTCAGTTAGGAATGGTACTTTACAAGTGTTATGAAGTATTTTAAAGTTTAATCATATGATATGTGTGCTTTGACATTTTATGTGGTATATAATCAATCCACATTTACCCCCAAAAGATGGTATTACTACAGATTTGTAATCAGGTTTGTCTCTACTTTGCAGCAGAAGATAGCATTGGTTTTACTGTTTCTTCTTTTTCTTCTTCTTGTGTTTGCTGCTTACATTTTTTTCTTCATCACACTGTAGGCCCATATTAATTCATTTATTATTGTTATGATTGTTTTTTAATTTTTTTATTATTATTCTTTACACAAAGTTGAAAGCTCCACATTTTTCGTATCATGCGTCCAACAAACAAAGTTTACCTGAAGTCCTCTACATTTTTCGTATCCTGCGTACAACAAACATAACATGAAATTAGATTTAACAAAGTTACCTGAATCTTGGATAAACCTCAGGCATACCCCATGTGTTAGCAAACTTATGTCTTAGAATGACATTATCTGTAAATAAATGCCATAGAGTAACTCACACTGTATTGTAATGTTATAGATACTTTTACCGCTTCCATGACTTAATTAGAACACTTTTTTGATTGTCAGAAACCTATTGTTCTTATATTGTGGCTTCATCTGTGCATGTATTTATGTTCCTTCAGTTATAAAGATATGAAAATTGTCTTAGTGGAACATCTTGCTCTTGTATATGTGAATGTTATATAGGTCACTACGGGAAAATGAGGGATGTTCAGTTTGTAGTGGCAGTCATACCGCAGGACCATGAAAAGTACTATTAACAGGAGGAAATGCATTCACTGTTCTGAATTACATATATATATCTTACTTTAGAAAGTGTTTTTTTCTCATCATATGTTAGGCCAGTGACCGCAGTGGTTCCTGACCTTTTTCAGGTGACCTAGTCATGCACCTCCAGACATGACCTCAACCCACGTCTGCTTTACAGTTTATAGGCTTATGTTGTATTATTTTATTATCATATTAATATTTTTTTTGTATTATTTATATAAATAATTTGATAAACAAAAATCTGCAATTGCGATTATACATATATGTTGAAATCTCAAAATTGAGAATTTACCTTGTCTGAAATTTTGAGGGCTTGGTGACCCCAAGAAAAACACTTGGTGACCCCACATGGGATCACGACCATAGGGTTGGGAAAGGCTTTGTTAGGCATTCCATTAAGCCAGCATTTTCCTGATCTGTGCATATTTGGTGTGTGGTGGAAATCTTATACAAATTTTTGAAAGGTGATTGCAATTTTTTTTTTTTTTTTTTTTTTATAGTAAACCACAGCAGCAAGGTTCAGTATTACCCCATGCAAACAGTGTCTTTGATAACACCTTTCATGTTTGTCTCATAATTTAGTCATTATGTAAGAATTTACACAGACTTCTTAGAGGCAGCATACTTATTATACAAAATATTTTGAAATGTTCAACACATATCTTTCAGTACATATTATTTACAATTTGTTTAGTTACATCAATCATGAATTCGAAAGGAGGATGTACTTAACATTATCCTTATTGAAAAGAGCCTTAATATTTCTAAAAATTAATAATTGATGTCTTATGACAGGACTTAACAATTTAATATTTTTGACTTCAGTGAATTGTTTGTTGGGCTAAAAGTCGAGAGGAGTCAGAGTAAGCCTGTCTTTGAACGTCCTCGCCGGAAGCGTTATGACAGGGATGACCACCAGAGAATGCAGCAAGGAACCCAGAGGCCTGATGAGTATGTGCGTCCGACCAGGGTGACGTCTAGGTAGGTAGCAGTGATTATGCTTATGTGGACTTCAAAACTGATGAGATTAAATGTAATGCATTTTTGTGGTT